GTACTCCCATATATAAAAGGACTGGGTGCTCTTCAGAAATTTTGAAAAGAACCACTAAGAGGTACCAAGATCATGCTTTGTGGGCTCGGCTTGAATTTTTTTTTTTTCACCCCTTAGAGGTGTAGTCCCTTTCACAGCGTAACGATTTTTGAAACACAGTTTCTGCTAAAGTGGGGCACATTTGTGGAATAGCTTTCCATCTAACGTCAGAACCATTAGATTTGTTATCAACTTTAAAAATGTGATTAATCACCAACCTCGTACTCCCACACAGCAAACATGTAAATAAGTTTTTAAAAAAAGAAATCTTACAAGTAACTGACTGCATTTAAATAAAGTGTGTATGTATGTATTAGGGTTGTTTTGCAACGCTTCTTCCCCCCCCCCCCACCCCCCCGACAACTGGGCTCAAGCAGCATCTGTAAGTTTGAGGTACAACAGCAGGGGAATGGAAGGAATTATCTTTCATTTCCCTCCCCTTCCACTGTTCCACATCTGTTTTTTCCCTGTTAAACCCCAAGCTCTATTATATCCTTGAGTTCTTGGAGCCTTGGAGGGAAAATCTCTAGCAAATAAATTATGTTCACAGTATCTTCAAAATGATCCGTCACAAGTTACGTTATGTTCAGTTTGATGTGTAGTTCTACATTCTTATGCTGCAAGGCTGCCAAAACCAATGAATAAATTCCTCGTTAATTTGCAAAGCTGAAGCACTTTTTTTTCACACTTTGGTTTACCTACAGCTACTTACGAGCTGCTCCAGTGGGAGAAGAAATAACCATAAACGCAGAAGTTGTTAAGATGGGTCGTACATTAGCCTTCACGTCGGCTGAACTGCTAAACAAAGAAGGCAAACTTATAGCAAAAGCAAGTCACACTAAATTCATTGGACAAGGCCCACCAACAGTCAAATCAGAGTAGACTGAAAAGGTTTCTGGTCTGTCTGGGATCTGAAATGCATACAGTTGGCCAGCCTTATCAAATTTTTCAGTATTATCTGTCAATATTAAACAAAGCTCTTCACAGGCAGAAAACTTTACTGCCATGAGGTGGATTAAAACAATGCATTGAATATTTAAAAATTATATATTTTTTCTTCAAGCCAATAGAAAAAAAATACGCTATTATTAGTGACTTGTAAATTTGTTTTTACTGCAAATTAAACCTGCAATGATGCCTTATTTGAAGGAGCACCTGGAAAAGAAACATCCAAAGTGTGATCTACGATAAAGTGATAGCTGTGCTTTCTCAATGAAGCAAACAAGACATCACATGCAATCAAAAGTCAAATGAAACCTTTTGACGGGCACTCCTTCACTAGCAAGGCCTCTGTTTTGTAAATCTGGTGATAATTTATTAGCTGAAATACAAACAGAGCCTCATCAGAGGTCATGTACAAATCATTGCACATAACNCAACAACACCCAACATGTCACAACACGTCACAACATGGTGACCAAACGCACGCAACATGTGTTGCAATATGTTGCGATCGTTTGGTTGGGGCTTACCGTAATGAGAAAAACAATAGCTGTGCACATGTGTTATAAATCTTTGTACATTTCTTTGCAGACTCTGCAAAACAACGTGAAATGACCAAGTTCTGCGTAGTCTGAGGAACGCAAATGACTACGGCTAATTTTCCATATTTGGAAATGTATGCTGTCATTGCATATTTAGCCTGAGCACGCTTTTAGAGCCATTGGCATACGGAACAGATTTAGACAGTTGCAAATTTCGTTGATAAAACATAAATTCATTTTGACTAGGCGTCGTCCTCGGCGTCACCGTTGTCGTTGCTTAAGCTCCCTATTATATCTCTACTGTATGCCTGACAGGTTCAGGAACGATTTCTATTCACACGGAACAGCTTCAAATTTCTGATGCACCTCGAAAGCAAAATGAGTCAATTTGAATTCGTTAAGTGACTCTTAAAGATGATTTCCAGTCCATACTGCACACTCTTGAGAGTATTTTTACATTTTTTGTTTTGTTTCATGTATGATGTCATAAAATGTGAACATTTTGCAATTACTTACATGAAGTAAATTCAAAGTTTCATGTCAACCCCCATTATGGACACAAAGCTTTATGTTTCATTCTTTCTCATATCACTTGATGAAACAACTTTGCAGCTGTAAAAATCAATGTAGCAGTTGGAAAAAGAATTTGAAAGGCCTCAAAGATAAGGCATGTGATTCATAAGGAATAACGTCAATTCGCATTCTATCGAGTGAGGTTCTTTTATGTTTATAAACATTAGGGTGCTGAGACTGCGCAGTACAGACTGGAAATCATCTTTAGGTTGTTAGCAGGTTTTAATACACAATTTCAGAAGTAAAAGAAAGTTTTCAACTTTTACTCGCTAAAAATGTTCAGAACACTTGGCAATAAATCGCGAAACATTTTGGCAACAAAAACAGCTTTAAATTTTGGCGGGCCATACAGTAGAATACGGCCCACTAAACTGACTAATCACAGCACACGTACTAACCGAGAGATTCTCGGTCCAAATCACCTTGTGCTTACTTAACAAAATAGAGAACAAATTATACATGGGTCAAAAGTCACTTCAAGCCTTTTTACAGACATCCATTAAGTAACAAGTCTTCTGTTTATAAAATATCTGGCAATGATATTAGCTGAAATAAAAATAGAGCTTTGTGCGGTGGTCATGAGCTATGTGCAAGGGTCCCTGGTCATGTGCAAATCATTGCACTTAACAATAGGAAGGCCCCCGTTGATACCAGTCCTGCGACTGAAGGGGTCACCCTGTTTAAATATTGATTATTATTATTATTATTATTATTAAGTTAAGTGAAGACTTTCTTTTGGTTGGTATCATTACACCATAAATAAATAGAATTAATATTATTAATGTACCGTCATGATTCAAACCAATTGTTGGACTAGTCATTCAGCCAAACCTCATTTTGGGGATATTTCTAGAGTGAGTTCACCATAAGTTTATGACATGACTAGTTAATATTCACAACAAACAAAAATTGAGACACTCTCAACCTTTTCTTTTGGAAAATGAGTATCTTTATTTCGCAAAGCTTATTTAACTTATTTATATTAGTATCTTATCAGTAAATGTGAATGGAAATGCTGCAGTGAATAGAGATCAAACAATGTATAACACATTAACCAATGAACATTGTAAAGAAGTACTACTTTTATAAAAATATTTTCCCACCAAATTGAAAAGATCAACATTACAAAAGTATGAATTACTGTTATCCTTTCACTCATGTACATCTGCCTACCCCCCCCATAAAACACTACCCCAACCCCCCCCCAAAAAATTGTAAATAAGCAAATTTACAGGGTTTTTTTTAATTAATTGGAATTGCTTATTGGGTCATTTACTGAGTTGTCATGCCTGCATTTTGGTCAATTGAGACAAGTGGATCTTTCAAATGTACAAAAACCGAAAGTCAATGAGGAATGTACAGTATTAACAACAATATTGGCCAGGTCACATCAAAAACAAATCAAATTAATTGAAAAATGTATTGCTTTGTCAAAAATGTTCATCTGTACAGTAGACACTCAAAATATAGGAAACATTGCTTTGGCTGTGGCACATTTTCACAGAAAATAGCAAAATAATTAAATCTTCGATAAATTAATAATGGCCAGTGATTGAACAAGAATCTTATATTACGCTAGCTTTATCAAAAAGTAGTGAGTTTTCATTTTGATGAGCTTATGGTGGTCTTGCTGTTCTAGAAGATTGTCCAAATCCCTCAATCATCACTTCCAAGTCCTTAAAACAGAACGAGAATCAATCAGTCAGTCAGTCAATCAATCAATCAGTCAATTCACCAATCTTGAAATCAATCGGTCAGTCACTCAGTCAATCAGTCAATCATCAAGCAACCAATTTCATACATTTCAAGCCCAGGATATATAATGCTAGCCACATGCTAGAAAAATTTGCCAGCTACTTGAAGCTAATTCTTTGAGGTTTATATTGTAGAAGCTTCAAACTGACAACAGTCAAGAAAAAAACTGACCTGACTGAGAGATCTACAGCAGTTGTAGATGTCTCAGTCAGGTTAGTTATCAGTTTAAAGCTTCTAAAATAAAATCTTACTGAAACCCAGTTTGAGCACTGTGGTCACAATGACTACACTGTAACCTCATAACAAAGCACTATTCCGCTAACATAAATTGACTTTGAAACAACCAGGAACATCTTGACAGAATTCCTACCTTCAGAAGCTGCTTCTTGTCATGAATGTGTCTCTGTTTATGAATACAACACTGAAGAGCACTGTGGTATCTCTCTAGCATCTCGATGGATGCCCCCTTAGTTGTATCAACTAACAAATCCAATAAAGACTCTAGTTTCTCTTTGATATCTGCAGTCATTGGACAGTTGTCTCTTGAGCTGTCATCCACTACATTGTTGAGCTCTCTATAATTAGGAGGTAGATGGCTTGAGGATGGCTCTCCTGTTAAAATGTAAAAGCAAACTGTATTGAGGACAGGATGTTTATAGCAACACCAAGAACATTATTTTGTACTCCATCACCTTGTAGTGGACTCGACAAAAATGTCAATTTAATTGCAAAAATGGGCCTAACACAAATAGCCTTTTACAGGTCACACTGTTCACAGGGAAAATATTGACTAGCATTGTCTCAAAGTTAACTTTGCCTAAATTTTATTTAGCTGCAGGTATAACTTCTAACAAAATTACTACTACTGCAAGTGACTTGAAAATTGTACTCAAAAAGTGGTTTTACATTAAATATTAAGGTTTGAATTGATGAAGGGAATAGCCAAAGGGTGTTTGACGTTTTACAATACATAATGCTTCGTTTCTGGGACTGATATCTTATAGCTTTATTTTATTTTTTAATTTAAATTTTATATTATGGGCTTTAACAGACATGTGAAACTATGAACTATGAAATGTATGAAAGTGAAAGAATTTCTGTCATCAGAAGAAATACTTTTGAGCTGTGCTCACCGATATGTTCAACATCACATTCCTTCTCCTTAGAGCAACCAATTGTAGTGATCCTGTTCGGCAAGCTTGATAATTCGATAGACAAAACAAGATTTTTCAGAGTTTGTTCAGACAACTGTGAAACATGGCCTGACTCAATTTGAAGAACTGACTTAGCATCCAAGTCATCATCTTTAACTTCACCTCCGAGATTTTCCGAGTCCAACAAAACCACCTCCCCATTTATCGATGTGTCCCCATTCTCCATAAGCTCAACATCATCTTGGTCATCTTGATGATCTGTGGCATCATTTTCTTCCTCACAGTTTGCATTAAGTACATGTACTTCTTCAGTTTCTTCATCAACGGACCTATCTCCTACTGAATTGCCAGGAATATCTTCAGGATCACTCTCTGCTTGGTCACCATTTTCCAGACACTCTTTTTCTCCAGTAATAGAATCAAGTTCAGAATCTAATTTGCGCTTTACATCAGATTTTCTTCGACTAGGTTTCTTTCCCCAATAGATTGGTGCTTTCCTTCGGCGAGGTTTTTTCCTCTGTCTGGAGCTATTGCTCTGTGATTGTGACTCTGACACAAAGGTAATGTCTGATACCCCCAATGCTGTTTTGTCTCTTTGTTGAACTCCAGCCTGTGTAGAGGTGACATCAGTTGTCATACCTTGTTTCACTGGAGCAACAAACACGAATGGAGGAGCAGCAGCAGTTGATTTATCACCTGAGAGAGGAAGAAAAAGAAGTAGCCATAAAAATATTATAACCTAGTCTGACAAAAGTCTTGCTACAATTGTGCAAGCAAGCTTAATTAAGTTGACATCTAAGTCTACTGGCAAATCAGGACAGCACCTAGAGTATTTCTATCCTCATCCCTTGATGGAAGGCTAATCCAAAATCAGGCTAAATCGTAACAAACAAGTCACAATATTATCAACTGTATCGAAATCTGTTGGTCTTGTTAAGGTTATCTTTGTTTCAGGGAGAAAAAAAAAAAACAAAAAAAACAGTCTAATCATGACAAGTGCCTTGCAAAATAACGTAACACAGTGACTTTAGCCAGAGCTAGAACCATGCCACCTGTAAATGGATAACATGAAGCTAGCAATGTTTCACACAATCAAAACACTCAAGAATTGAGTTTCCTCTTAAATGATATCTGCCATGTGTGATTTATTTTCCCTTTCCCTTTCATCCACTGTTCAACATTGTGAGATTCTCACTAATGACAGGGGGTGATTCAGGAAAGGCCCCCCATAAGCTTGAGTACCGGCCCTTTCAGACTGAAGCTCAAAATACATGTAGTAATTATTTTTCATTTACTAATTGCCATTAGTTTCCTTTGAGGTTAGCTCTGAGAATTATACCTCAAGAAACTAATTACTAAATTAGATAATGCAATCTTTGAAGATTTCCTTTGTTCTTGACATAAATTAAATTACAATATTTACAGAGGAAGCCACATCAGCCTTAGATGGTTTCCATGCAGGTCCTCTATCCTGGTCACCTAGCAACTGCTTGGAATGTATTGAAATAGAAAATAGATATCAAAGTTTTACAAGCTGTTTAACAATGTTCCCAGTGATTGAAGTGAAGGTTTACTGTGTCTCCTAAGCTAGTTAATAATTAAGGGACATGTGAGCAAGTCATATCGTACCTCGTCTTTTTCTTGCTGCTATGATTTCTTCACAGGTCTGTAGAAAAGGTACAAATGTGGAGTAAGCTAGACATTCTCTAAAAAATACTTTTCAGGTAGATTTCTGCAATCAATTCAGCTACTAACAGTAGAATCCTATCTCAAACCCTCAAGGGAAACAGAAAAAATCTTGAGATAACAGAGTTCAAGACATCCAATATTAAATGGCTGAAAAATACATTAAAGGGAAAATAATAACAGCTCAAGTCAAGGTAACAAATTTTGAGGTTCTACTGTAGGTCGCTCACCTTCTCAAACTCCGGTTCCAGTTGTGACTTAATTTCAGAGTGCGCCATATCACTGAGTTCACAAGCCCTGTGCCGGATCAGCTTGTCCATGGGATCTCTGTCAGGGTTGTACTTTAAAGCATTGCTTGTGATTAAATCAACATCTGCCAAGTATTGCTCACATGTACTGTATTCATGGCAGTCAATTTTGTGCATTATGGTTGTTAGATCCATTGGCTCATCAATGATCTCAAGGTAGTCAGGCACCTGAAAACAGATTAATTACCTTTTTAGAGAAAATATAATCAGAGGTGTTAAACAACAGGAACCTTGTGTTATACTTGTGTTACTTTAACCTATTTTGACCAGCAGCCACTACCATCTGCAACTTGTTTGCTATAGTGAAATTTTGATTTTCTTTTCATATGTCAACAAACAGGATGTTTAATTTGCAATGTAGTTTTACATGTAATTGTTCCTTGATTTAAGCAAAGTCTGTTTTAAGAAATTCCTGCTCAGGTTAATTCATGTAACTATACATTTACCTCCTGTAAATCCACTGGTTTGGCAAATTCTTTGAATCTGCGATCTTGAAAAAGCTTTGCATTTACATCTCTGAGGAAGATGCGCAATTCCCTCATGGTGTTCTCTTCATCCTGCCGAGCCTTCTGTAGTTCTGCTTCTGACAGTTGCCGTGGAGGTGGTGTAGGAGCAAAAGGCAACACTTCCACTACCTGATCTTTTTCTAATCACGCAAAAAAAGTTTTACTGTGCATTACATGTAGAATGGTCTTTAGTGACCATATAACCAATTAGAAGTAAAAGCATCTATTGATCACCATGCAACACAAATGTTTCAAATCTTAACTAAAAGTTCATATTGAATAATACTTCTATAAATTAAAAGTACTGTATCTTGACCAAGTTACTAAGCAGTTTTACTGCCTCCGTGTTACAAATAAATAATGTTGAGAAGACTGGACAGTCGAGTAGAACTATCAGAATCCTTTACTTTTAAATTCCCCTGCAGTTCTAAAATTTAGATTCACTAATATCTAAAAAAGAGAAAGGAATGCTGGTGTTTTCAGTCAAGTTAAAACGTAGTAAAGTATGCAGCTATTCTTACTTGATTTCTTTGGTTTAGGTTGTTGAACAGCTTCCTCAAAGAATAGGCTATGAAAGAAAGCGCGTCTCTCATCTGAGGTAGGATCAGCCACTCGGAATACCTGAATAAAAAGTCAGACATGAATCAGTGATCATGAGAAGACAATGAGACAATATTAGACAGTGTGACAGCAGTAATATCCTGGGCTGTTTTTAATCCTAATGCAATCTATTACATTAATCTGATTCGCCTTTTGCGGATGAAATGCTCAATAGTAAGTGTGACACTTGTTCAAACAACAGCTACTGAATATTATCCTGTATAAGGTGGATCTATATGCAGGTTAAAAATCTCTAGACCACTCCCAAGGAAAAACAAAATGTTGTTTCGAATTTTCACCTCTTCCATAACAGATCCTCCAGTGCTCTATGCAAAACCACTGCCAACAATACTACATATGTATACACTTTAAATCTCTCTACCTGTCTGGTTTCCTCGGAAAAGAGTTCCTTCATAATAGCTGGAAGGTAGTGCCATCTTTTATCAGTAGTTGCCAGAAACAACACAGGAGCAAGTGGAGGAAGATCTTGAAGCAATGACAGTAATGTAGCATGCAGGCTGTCTCCTGTAGCTTTCCACAATGCATCAAAATGAGGTGAGTACAACACACAAGGGGATGTGCGACGTGCTTCACGAAACAACTGAAGAGGAAAGAAATCAACTCAAACCAAAACATTCTAAAATTAAAATTATTATAGTACTATAATAAAAATAAAACTCAGTAGTCACAATGAGAATCAAAAAGACACTTTTAACAACTGATACTAACAGTGGAACCCAGCAAATCTGGTCACCAATGGGCCACAAAAATCTGGCCATATTAATGGCGTGACCGTATCAAAGGGATATTTCAAATAAGAAAATGACCAACTGAGCTTTTGCTTAGGCAAGAATAAAGTGGCTGTAATAATGAGGTGGCCGTAAGGCGGGGTTCCACAGTGCGTTTTTATGACCCTTTAATGCCCAAGTCGCTAGTGGAGGGAAGGTGCCTACGAAGCCCGGGGGCTGCAACCGCAGTCACATCCCCAAGGCGCTAGAACACCCGACTGGCCTNTTCTGTATGAGTATCATGTATGAGCATGGCTATGAGTATCGCTATTCCTGCTCGATGCATTGCTAGTCTGTTGCAAGTTATGCCCTAACATTCTTTCAGGTTGCCCCAACAATTTGCTGGCACACAAGAACACAATGTAATGACCCTAGCCAAGAGCAAAATTCCTGGCCACTAGATCCAGTGTCCAGCACACTAACCATTGAAGCTACTGCTACTGCACCTGCCACCCTATGAACATTAAATGCATTAAATACATTATTAGTAGAACACAGGGTCATACCTGTGAGCAAGCTTCTTCAGGGGTTTTGGAGGTAACTCCATACAGAGCTGGTAAGTCCAAACAGTACACAGTCATATGTTCCATGGTATGCAGTAAAGCAGGAGCAATATGAGTGGATTGGCCCATGCCTTGCTCACCACATATCAGAAATCGGGGTCGATATGTTGACAGCCCTCTGGCTTGGCCATTTGCAGAATTGAAGAAAGAGGAATGCTGAACTTCTACCAATTCAGGATTGCCAGAGAACTGCTGTGCACGTCGCATGTATCGTTCACTTCTTGATGATCCAGGAACGGACTCGAAAATTGGAGGTCCCAGGTCATCATCTGAACTGGCTTCCTCATCACTCAAAACAGCAGCCAACCTACTGCGCTGCTCATGACGGCTTCCACTGGGATTCCCCATCAGGCTGCTGGGACTGCTCTCTGTCACTGTTTCAAAATAGGAAACATGATTCATAGCAGATCACTGTTAGAATACCGTAAACTTCCAAAATCAAGGACCCCCAAAAGTAGCAGGCCCCCAAAAGTAACATCAAAAAAATCGTTCCCGCTAATAAATGCAGAAAGTAGTGAGCCCACCCCAAGCCTCCACCCCTTGAAAATAGAGACCAAGGTTCAGTATCATATTTATTTTTCCAATCTATAGTCAGGTGAAGTGACTGTACAGTAACTTGATTTGAGACACTCTACAACAAGGGTAGGTATCCCTTATGCCAAGAAGCTTTGTGAAATGTAAATCCATGCTTTATAAGTTGATGTAGAATGTTCTCTAAGTAACAGGGATGCCTATACCTAACATATAGCAGGTGACCAAGCCATTTTTGATTTGCGTACCTGTTTTCATGTGAGCAGGGGGAAATATCTTCTCAAGAATCTCCACTGCCTGAGTCAAACTCGTCTTCAGCAAAGGCCAAATAAGGGGCGAGAGTGCTCTTGCTGGAGAGACCACAGATCGCTGAGAGGCTGGAATTATGGCCTTCATTGCCTTCTGGAAGTCCTTAGCAGTCACTTCAATGGAGTTGACATCTACTAACAGTTTCCTTGTACTGCTGTATATTTGTGGATAACGTCTTCTTAACGCAAACAGTGCTGCCTCTGTACACAAGGCTTTGATGTCTGCACCACAGTATCCCACACAGTGGTCTGCTACCTCACTTACAAAGGATGGTAGCAGTTTAGGTTCCCACTCACGAGTATGAATGGTTAAGATGCTTCTCCTTGCCTATGGGCAAAGACAAAACTCTGACTTCAATACAAAATGACAAAAAAATCAATGAAAGTGAAAACCAAGTCTTTCTTGAGATGCCTTAAGTAGATGTGAACATTAATTTGTAGTTCTCAGGTGCTCTGCAAAGACCTTGCAGCACTTGGTCCAAAACTGGTCTTTACAGTGTAAGTAATAAGCTCAAGCCAAACATTTTCTCATTTGGTTTTACTGCTCAATCAGTGTAAGTATCCAGTACATTTGTATACTAAATAGGGAAACTTTACATGTACCTCACATAAATCAACAATGCTTTTCATAAATTGTAACTGTTCAGACAAACAGTTTGGAAAAGAACTTACATTCCTATGGGGAAGAGCAAATTGAAATTCCCTGTCAAACCGACCAGGGCGCCTCAGTGCTGGATCAATAGCATCAATTCTGTTGGTAGCACCAATAACCACAATTTCTCCACGACTGTCCAAGCCATCCATTAGAGCCAACAAGGTTGATACAATGGAACTGTGAATCTGGTCCTGACGACTGGAACGTACAGGTGCCAGTCCATCTATCTCATCAAAAAATATGATGGCTGGCCTCATACTAAATGCCTGTTAACAAAACAAACATCAGGCTTAGATTGTAAGACGACAACATTGGTAGTTGATCGATGCAAATACTTTAAAGAGAACTTAAGCATCCAGTTTGGAGACCAGTGAATGGGGCAGGATATCAGAAGTTTAAACAGCCAATCGATCGAGAGAGAAAAGCAGCTTTTACATTTTTTCCCAGGTGGGTGACAGGCATAACCAAAGCAATGTACATCTGAATACATTTTCAAAGTGATTAAAGGCTAAACACCAACAAGTACATTGTTGTAGTGTGCATGTGTTAAAATATTTTCCACTTTGAAATGATAATTTATTTATCAAATGAACGTAAAACTCAGCTTCAATTTAGATTATAAAATGACTCATCAAGACAGAGTTAGCCCTTACCTGGTCAAACAAAAGCCTGAGTTGTCGTTCAGATTCACCAACCCATTTACTCAGACAATCTGCACCTTTCCTCATAAAAAATGCAACTTTCTTGTCACCTTGACTACATTCATTAGCAAGGGCTCGTGCTACAAGTGTTTTTCCAGTACCTGAAATAAAATTGTACAGTCACACAGTCTCAGTAACTGTCGTCTAAATGAAAAGGTAAAAAAGGTGAAGTCTGTATACAAGCCAAGTGGCCCATCAGGCCAGAGCGTATCCTGGTTTCTGTAGGATGAGGCAACTAGGAGTATTTCTAATCCCCCCTGGTTGGGATGCCAGTCCATACACAGAGTTATTCCCTGCATCAAATTTGATGGTACCCATATGAACATGTACTAAGTAAAATGTGAGAACTGCAAACAGGAGCCAGATTTATTTGAAACTCTTATCTCATGGATAATGAAATACATTTTATAAATTAATAGAAACAAAACATAAACAGTCGTACCTGGTGGTCCATGGAAAAGGACTCCTCTTGGTGGAGAAATCTTAAACTTTTCAAACACTTCAGGGTACATCAGTGGAAACAAAACCATTTCTTTCAGTGCCCTTATCTGCTTGTTTAGGCCGCCAACTGCATCAAACATTACCTGACCAGAAACAGACACCTTCAAGATCAAAAGTAGTTCTACCAAAAGTTGTTGGTTTGAAAGTAAATAATTACAAGTTTAACAAGCAGCTTTGTAAATGAAATAATTCGATTGGGTCTTGATGATAGCACGAATCTAAGCATTGCTGTGATAAAAAAAAAGATGCATTAACAGATGGGCAGATGGAAAGGCTTTGGTTGATGTTGTGACAGACAATGGTTGCCAATCTAAGTCTTCGTTTAGCTGGAGATACAACAACGGTCAGTCATTAATTGCCACCACAACTGTGGCCAGCCAGACAAAAGAAAAGTTGACAAGGCAAACGAATAGTTGTTAATTAGCCCGCAAAGAGCTATCCTGCTACCCACTTGAAAGATAAGCTAAACAAACCTTGTTGTCAATGTTCATAGGATCCACATCAGCTAAACTTGAACCAATCCTGGCTCTCTCCTTGAGAATTCCAGTGGCTGCATCATCCATGGTAAAGTTCATTGGGAGACAGCGACCTCTGGCTTTAGCCATGCTCTTAGCCTTTCTGCGTTCAAACTTTCTTTCATCTTTCTCATTATCTGAGTTATCTAGAGGGCATGAAACAATGATTACCTTAGCAACTAACTGGCCAGGGTTTTCTTGTGTTTTTAATAAGAGAAACAAATTCATATCTTCAGCAACCATTTCTTTTTTATTATCTGGGCATGAATCTACATGTATCAGCATCATTTTTCACTGACTGGACAAACAACTGTGAAAAAGTAGGAAGTGAGATCACCTCACTAGTGAGGATACAGAAAATAATTATGCCACATGGGTCCCAGATTCTCCTGAATTTTCCAAGCAGTGTATTTTCCAGTAAAACACTCATGTGTCTACATAATAAATGAGATTATACCATGAATGCCCGACCACAATTTTGGTGCCTACTGCTTTGGTATACTTGCACTAAAATAAACTTCCGTCTTTTGAGAAACAATTTGACATCCCTCCAGTTTCAAATACCCTGGATTTTAAGTTGTAAGTAAAAGTATCTTACCAGAAGAGGAAGTTGAAGAACTCACATGGTGAGCTTTCCGTTTGTGTCTGCGAATTTTTCTCACAGGAGAGGCATACTGTGCTTTTTTCTTTCTTTCCCTACCCTTTCGCCTCACTTCACCCATATGGAAGCCTCTGTTTCCTGTAAGATAGATGTATACATGTGAAAATAAAGTACCGGTAGTTTGTTTTTTTCTTTCAACATACTGGTAAAAACTAACAAATACATAGGATAAAATAAACTAAAGGCAAGAAATAATGTCTAACCTGATAAGGTCACGTTTTTGTTTAATTGTTCATCATGTCAACCACACCAGTAAAATTCAAAAGAATCAGTTAATTTTGATTTGGCCATAATTTTACAGCATAATGTCTTGCTTTTTCCACAAGCAGCCAATCACAATGTACAATTCAGAGCAACAATCCTGACAGTTTTGCAACAATGACAATAAGTCATACTGTTATTTCAAAATCTGACAAATCTTTTTTTAAAACTGACAGAAACAAATGGTTAAAAGATGAGATGATATTTTGAAAGCAAGTACCTTTACTACTGGACTTCAAAGGTGGTGCAGTATATCTGTTTGGTATGGGCCGACTCTTCCTTAGCTGATAACCTTTATAATCTTTCTCCTCCTCCCCTTCTTCCTCTCCATCATCATCTTCATCATCATCGTCGTCATCATCGTCATCGTCATCATCATCTTCCTCCTCATCATCCTCCTCATCCTCATCACTATCATCTGGCTGCTCGTCTTCTTGACGCCTACCTTTTCTATTTGATCGTTTCTCTGGTGTTGGAGTCTGGTCATGCTTTCTCTTGACAAGATCATACATACTTGGTGTTTCAGCAATGTTATCCTAGGTGTGAGATGAGTACAAGCAACTGTTAATGTTGACTTAAAAAAAGATTACATACAGTCATTAACTATCCTCATTGCGCCACAGGACGTATAAGGCCTTAAGACTACATACAGATCTTGACATCTGCAAATCAGAGGAAACCAACCAGAATGTCCCTTTTTTGTCACAGAAAGTTTTCCCCTAAATCATATTTTGCACATGATATCCTCAAAACAAGACAACCATGGCTGGGTTTTTTGAGAACTTGTAGTTCCAGACAATATCCATACCTCCCCTACTGAAGGGATTTTTTTCAAGCACCCCTCTGGAAATTCCAATTAAGCTTTGTACATTTCTTTAAATTTTTTGGTCTTACTGAATCCCCTCACCTCCAGGAAATTATAATCCCCTTGGGGAGAGTATGGATATTTTCTGGAACTGCATAATATTCTCTACACAAATGTCATTAGGTATTGGGAAGATTTTTGTTTCACCAGAGTGCTCCACTTTGAAAATGTAGCACTTTGGAATTTGTGACAGCCTTGATCAACATGGTCTAAAATGTTACTGTACTTAAAACACAGAAACACAAAAGTTAAAACATTTTGGCCCTTTTATCATAGGTATCATTTCACCACCAGAAAATTAGGACATTTGAAGAAAGTATGAAATAAATCAACAGACTGAAGACAAATAAGAAAACAACATTAGTCTCTGAACCCAAGGACCCTAACATCCCGACCTAACTTGTTACATTTTGCAGGATTTTGCACTCCAAGCAAATTATTCTAAAATGATTCAACCATTTCATAAAATCATCATTTGTGACAAAAAAATGCCACAGTTAGCAGTAAAACTGACAAGGCACTATCCTGGGGACATAAATTCAAATAAAAAATAATTTGACGTAAGGATTCACGCGATTGGCGCCAAAAATGAGAAATTGGCGCCAATTTCAAACCAAACAACGCAATATTTAAATTTTACCTCATCGCCTTCCGTTTGAGAATCGCTCTCCTCCTCGACCAAATATCTTTTCCTTTCACCTTTCTTTTTGGGAGATTTTGAATTTTCGAATCCAGTCAAATAACGATGATCTGTTAACATCTTAACATTTAGGGTTTCGTAAACCTTTCTTCGCTTTCTGTCGCTGCGCCGAACCAAGTCTGCGTCGTCCACAAATCTCTCTTTGGTTTTATTGCTTCCTTTATGAGCGGAGCTCGAAGCTCTATAGCTGGCTGCTTTCTCTGTAAGAAAATTAAAGCAAACAGTCTGGTTTCTTGAAGTAAATAGAGTGCTAAACTCCAGAAAACAAAAAATAAATAAAGATGGAAGCTTGAAAATGCATACCTCGGCCTCGCCGCTGTGAACTCCTGGTTTCGATGGTTGGGCCATTGAGTATTCTGACATAAAATAGAAAAGCGTTTAAACTTCCTGTGTCTAGGAAATTGAAATGAAGTCAGCGTGCCTAAATCTCAGTTCGATCAATTAATCAATGTCGAGCGATAACAATATAAAGTTACCTTTGGTTTTGGCGAGTTGAACGGGTTACCGGAACGCTCACTTGAAGTCTCGGATATAAGCCTCCGCTTACATCATTATACTCCTTGCTGTTTCGCAAACGGCGCTTCTTTGGAGGCAGAGGTTTTGTCTCCAGCCCACTTTCATCGCTTGATGGAGCCTTTTGCATAAAAAGAAGGAATTTAGGCAATGAATTTGAGGTTTACTCTCTGCAAAGGCAACACATACATGCATGTACATTGTATAAATTATCATCGCAAACTGTGTAACTTTTTAACCTATTAGTGAGCATGAAATCCAACAGTTTGTACTCACTTTCTCCTCTCTATTCCCAATATTTTTTCCCCTCCCGTTACCAGACCGTAATGTGCGAACGAAAGGCGTACTTTCGCTGGCTTTTACCATGATAGTTACTTCACCTTGCCGGCCATTTTCTGCAGTGAACCATTGTTTGGGAATGGATGTCCCGGATATAGCATGTTCACGTTTCCGGGAGTTCGGGTGCTCCCGCACGAAAACCTTTATTCCCGCGGGATCAGCACCGCAATGCCTCCTCAGTCATCTTCCTCGAACCACGGCCACTTGGAGGGACATATATCGAAAATAAAACAACAAAATGAATGAAAAAATGAAACAGCAAAATGAAAGAAATTCTTGCCTCACTTCCGTTTCATTTCGCGTCAATTTCTTTAAAATGGACCATTAGAATACTTCGCGTGACTCTTTCTCTTCCCCGAACCAAGTGCTAAAAAGCTTACCTCAGAGAAGATTGATGGATTTACCGTAAAGTTCCGAAAATAACGATCCTCAAAATGGAACAACCTCAAACGTAACTTGACTTGTAATTATGAATACAACGGGTCAAGTCACCGGCCAAAATAGTCTGACATTCACTTTGGTACTGGCCCAAATTCTAAGGTAATATATTGTTGTATTTTGATGTAAAATACACTGTTATCAACAAGTCTTATTCAAGCTTCAGCGCTCGCCTCATTAAACACTTTATTCTTAGAAAAAATCTTTGGGTATAGCCGGAATAGATGTTACTCGTTTTAGCTAGCCGAAATTAGCGGTTCTCCAAATG